CCCACAGAAACAAACAAATGTATAAACATGAATCCTATACATCCAAACTTGACATCCCTCCCAAAAATACGCAAACCTACATCTCTATTATCGGGTTGTCCGGAAAATAATGCAGGATTTTAAGTTTTCATTAAAAAAAATCTATATAAAATATTCTGTTTACGTTTACAGGATTACTCNATTATTTTGATTAAAGAACATTGCTTTAAAGTAACTAGTTTCTTTTTTTTTGTTTAATACCAAAATCCTGCATTATTTTCCGGACAACCCAATATATACTAGACTATATATAAATAGTCAGCCTCTGCGTACAATATCAAACTTTGCTGGACTTTCAATCCGAAGGATTGTCACTCCCCGATGTGTTGACATAACGGTCTGTATCTGAGAGTGAGTTCACCTACCCCGTTCTGCGGATGTGTTGTTAATAATTTAGTAATAGCAAAGATATCGTAATAATAAAATATAGTAATTTACAAGAGGAGACTATGAATCAAACAAGGCTCATCGATTCGACTAAACCTTTATTGGTGATACTCGATCAGAAATATTGGTCATTTGTCCGAGCGTTGTTGCTAATTGGTCGTAGGAGTTGTGAAAAAAATTCTAAATAATGTAAACACTTAAAAAAAATAATTTATTCTATTGTTGAAAATGTATTTCAAGGTTAATATAAATTGGTCGATTTTTTTACATTTTTACGAGGGGACCATTTGACTCAGAGGACACCGACGATCAAAAATCTATCAGATGCAGAGTCCGAACGCCAGGAATATAGTGGGATTACTTTCGTTATTGGTGAACCCTGAAATAAGCTAAATTCCACGAACTATTATTTTACATATTCCGTACACTTCTTTGAAAAATTTATTTGAAATCGATAGTACTTGATCCGTTGCATCCTCTTATAAATTACGTTTGATTTTTCATTGCGGTTTTAGTACGTTTTTTACCTTTTTTTGCTACAATGAAATTATTACTTGAAGGTACAATAATTACGACTTGTATATACAAGCATACTTTGTTGTTTATTAGGGGGAAAACATTAAAAAATTAATTTGGGGTGAATGTAATTAAAATTATGTAAAGAGGAGCTGAGTTTCACCCCGAGGCACAAACGTGCGTGTCTTTGCGTCAACCGTTTCCTTTAATGTCTCTCTTGTAAATCAACTCAACTGAATATTTGGCAAATTTACATTATAATTGTTTGCCTTAATTTACTTATGTAAAAGATTGAACGAAGTTGTCATAGTTTACTTTATTTTTATTTTATGTTGTCAGTTGTAAAATCCTGTAAAATTATCAACTGTTTTGAGCAAAGGGAAGTTTCATTATTGGGGGGAATCTTACGTGAAGGCAGAGCTTGTCTTTTTCGGGTTATTTTGTTTAATTTCGTCCACAAAATGGTGCAGTGTAAAAAGTAACGAAGCAATCATCGGCTGATCGAAGAGAAATTTTCCCTGAATACATCCACAGCGCTTTTAGCAATACTGATCCCCGTTTTATCGGGGTATTTCATTTTCTTAAATACAAATAGCCTTGGTTTAACTGTGGAAGGAAAAGGGGAAGAACGGATTAAAACAAGGAAATTCTCGGATTTCCTTCGAAACAGCCTTGCAATAGGCGTAAAACGTTCAAGCAGAGGGATTATTTATTTTTGAAACAGTGGAAGAATACAATGTATATAAATGAAGAAGGGGGCCAGAAGTGAAGAAAACATTTATGTCGCAATATTTCAAAGGTTAAGATTTTCCTATAATAATTAGAATTTAATTATAAAATTTATAATAGTAATAATTCAAAAATTTAACGCCGCTGTAATCGATAAATTGTTATACAACTAGAAAATATATTTTTGTTTAAGTAACTAAATTAGCTTTTGCTATTAGCATAAGATTAATCTTCTTAAATAAGCCTCGCCCCTCCCAAATTCTCTGCACTGAATATCCAAAGTTTTCCACACTGTCAGACTCGAGTCGCTGCCACTTTCGGAATGAATTAATTATTCAAAAAGTATAACGAGCAAACTTGCTCATTAAGGAAAAATTATGAAAATTGAGCCTAAGCATTTTCCCCGGGACACTCGTTAAATTGGAAATGAACGTACAATGTGTACAAAGAGAAAAAAGGTTAAATAGGTAGAAAAGCCTGTTTAACTTTGCACATCTTGAGTTTAAAAATTCTTTTGTTACTCTTTTAAACAACTCTAGTGTATTTTTAACTTTTCTGAACTTAATTTATTTCACTTTATCACTTATGGCACATTTATTCCAGTCTAGTTAAAAAAAGTTAATCTAATAACAATAAAATAAAACAAGGAAAAATAAACTTATTTTTTGAAAGGAAAGATACCCCATCAAAGACCAGTACCTTATCATTCATCAAAATACGTTTGAATTTTTTCTGTTCAATGTTTTTTTTAATGTGATTATAACACATGAATGGTATAACATATCAACCCTACTTTCTACTTAATACAACCACACTCATACACAGATTAGAGATGTAAAAATACCAAAACGCGTCTCACACACCAACCTAGAGAGGACAGGCATACTGAGATGGTAAGAATCAATTACTAGGATCAACCCCGACAGACTACTGGAGGAAATTTTAAGATTTAATATTTTTTACTAATACCGTTATAAATTTTCATCAAAAAGGTATAACAAGAAGGAATGTTTTTGTAATAAATAGAACAAAATTTGAGCAAAAATTCACAGAAAAATAAAAGTTAACGTGTTCAAAAGGAAAGATGAATTAGGCTGGAAGCTTGTACACAATTGATAAAGGTCGAGTATGAAAGAAAGGCAGAGTACAACAATAGGGTCACTATTTGTTGGGTGTAGTGGCTTTACAATTTTCCAGGATTAAAGGTGAAGTGATATTTTATTACACCGAACAATCGTTATGATCTTTTTGACGTTGGTAAAATAAAATAAATTCAATTTGTAATTATTTAAAACAAGAATTCCTTTAACTTTTTTAAACTAAAAATTAGCGACATTGTTTTTTCTATCACATTTTGTCACTTACTCGTTTCTGGACAGAAACGTATAATTTAACACAACTGCGTTTTAACATAACTGCCTAACGGACATAAAAGTAGAATAAAGAATATAAAAAAAAACACTCCAAAACATAACACGTAAACAACAAAACAGAACAAAGAAATTCATTCACACATATACACGTACCTCAGAAACAAACATTCATACCAATGAATAAGTACATACACATAAAAATAGTCACGGTACTAATCACAAAAATACGTCCAAATGAATGATGCACAACCAAACACTCAAAACAAAACCCCACAATAAACCAAATAACACACAGTGGGACGTGTGTACGATACATAAATAAATAACAAACGAATTGATCACTAATTACAGAAAAATTCTTTACGAAATCTTCTACTAATTGACAAATACCCAGAACCAATTTTTGTATTTAATGCAAACATGAATAACTGCACTTAACTGACAAATGGCCCAGGCGAGGAAAAAATTGCTTGAATTACTCCCAAAATCCCACCAACTCTAACACCCAGGGATTTACAGCACAAAAATAATAATCACTGAGGGATTCATATGACACAATATAAAGAAAGATTGTGGAATATGAAAATGAACCGATGACGTTTTCGTATTTCGAGAATTTCCAGGTTCCAAAAACGAGATTGAAGTTCACTAATCAAAAACACAAAAAATCTAGGACTATAACCGGGCATAAACCAAGCAAAAGGCTACTAAAAGACTGAAAAAGAGATAATCCTAGTCACTAGGAGAGGTCAGCAGAAAAGCTCTCAGGATCATGAGCATTGCCGGTAGCTGGCCCTGGTAGCCGTCGAAGAGGGGTCTCACTCATTCAATTAAGGATGGGCCATGCGAGGTTGTTTGGTGCTGCTCGATAAGTCCCAATTATTGTGGGGTGCAATACATTGGCTCCATATAGAGAGCGTGTTTCGCTTGAGTACGGCCGTGATTATCTAAGTCCACTGTTCCGAATTTTGGAGGAAACGGCGTTGTTTTATTGTATATAGCAATGATTGTCTTGAGTACCTAGCGTGTGTTGGCAGTGCATCTATTCATTAGCGTGAATGTGTGGTGTGAAAGTATCGATGGCGGAATATTGAGGGTATTTTGTTTCTCTATTAGGTCATTTGTGTAATATGTGTAAAGGGCGATTGTGTAAATATTGAATATACTGCACCACCTTAATTGAATGAACGTTATTTCTAAAGGAGAGAATGTATTTAAGTTTGAGGAGGGTGGATGTTTTGGTTTCTAGTAAATGCATGCGTTGGGTTCTGGATTGAGGTAGCTGTTGACAACATCCGGAGCCCAACCCCAACCGAGGTCTGCCTCAGAACTGCCAACACCCAGGATGGGTGATTCTCGACGCCTGCCGGCAATTTATTGTAAATTACAAAAGCTGGAATCGCCAGTGGACTGCGCGAACTGATAGGTTTAACGCTTAACTCTTCACATATATGTAGAAACATATGCGGATTTGGTCTTTTATAAATCCAAGTCGAAATACTACTCAATAGAAAGGAATTATAAAACCCTACGAGCTATATTTACTGGACATCGTCATACAATTTAAAAAATAGGTCTATTAGCACATGACCAAAGTCGACCGTTTCTTAAAACTACTAACACAACAGAATATTCTACGCAAGGCTATGGAACTAGAAAAGTCATTCTTGTACAATGTAGACGTCTATACCATACCACTATACGAAGTTAGACTGCAACAGTCAAAAAGTTTTAAGGTTCTGAGAAGGAGCGGCAGCGTGGCTCTGAATGTATTTACATTAAAAACAATAGATAAAACATAAGGCTGATTTCAGGTGTTATGTATTTCCAAATGTTCATTCGTACCTCGACGATACCTGCTTTCGAAATCAGTATAGTTTGCTGATTGTTGTTAGTTGTTGAAGCGGCGGTGGGGCACGAGCACGCAGCCTCCCGGTCCCCTCAGGGACTATCGCCCACCAGGAGCTCAGTCTCGTCCCGACCACGTCGTTAACCGGAACCGCGGCCCGTGTCGTTCCAGTCCCGGTAACTCGAAAATACGACTCTCCCACCGAAATCCGGCGATAATCCACTCGACATGGTTTTAGGTTGGTAGACCCAATTGGATAATTGTTACCCATGTGAAAAACTCTTGTGGTCCCGACCTATTGGAATTTTTTTCTTATTTATTTGAAAGTGTGTTGACATAAAATTCTCTTCCTTTTGTGTGTTCTGTTTTTGTGTTGTATACCCGAGGTTATTATATACAATCTTGTGTTGTAAACCAAAAATTATAAAATTTTTGGAGAGGATTTTTTTAACGTAAGTAAGTTTTACCGCTAATTTTTTCATACTGTGTGTTTTGAGTGGCGAAAATGTGACAACACTTAGCATTACCTTAATTTCTCTTTATTGAATCATAAAACGAAACAAGCACCATTTGTCACTAACTGTTTCCCTCATTTCCATCGTCACCAGCTAATCCTAAACAGCAATATTCATGAATGAAATAAAAAAAATTTATGTTCTACCTATAAAACATACAGACTGTTTTTAAATTGAAACGCTCTTGAAGCAAAAAAAAAATCAATTAAATAAAAAACAAATATACAATTTTTGTCATTGAAAGTTTTTACCAAATTGTTAATTTTGAATATGTAGTCTTCATCTATTGAAGGTAAATACATGCAGTGGGAATGATATTTTTTATGTGATTGCCGACAAAACCCTGGGCACGCGCCAGCCCATAGCCGCTTCCGGGTTGATCACGACCTCTCTTATATAAACTAAGTTTCAATCGATCGTCGCCATTTTGTTTAGAAAATTTTAGCGCCCTCAAATTAAACAATACGTCGTTAAATTATTCGGAAATTTTTTGCTTATTCAAACAAAAGTCCAGGGACTTGAACTATTCATGTAAGAAGAGTGTCGTAGATATTTTTTTCTATGATTGATAAATAATAAATCCTTTAATCCTTTTTGTATCCATTAAAACAATGGAATTTGAATGGATTAATAGCTACGATTTGATGTTGATATTTTTTGGAACCAACACCCAACTTTATCCATTATCCATGAGATTTGACTTACAATTTAAAAAAAAAAAAAAAAAAAACTATAAGGCCTTATTGACCCTAAATAGAATAAATACTTTCATTTTTCATTATATTCATTGGTAAATGCGCTGTATTAACAAAAATAATAATTTTTTTTGGAAAGAACACACAACGTTTTGTCCATTATCTTTGGGATTTTATTTTTATAAAACTATACTTATTATTGCCGCCAAATATAAAAAAAATCCTTTAATTTTTCATTTTATCCGTTGGAAAAACGGATGATGAATGGGGTACATGTATTATTAAAGATAATAATAATAATAAGGTAATAATAAAAACTCCCCAAAATATATAAACAAAAACATTAATATCTCACAAACACTCTCAACCCGACACACAAGAATGACACATCTACACGGAAAACAAACACTTTGAGTCCTGAAGATGATCTCACTAATGATCGAAACGTTGGCATCATAAAGAAAATGTTTTTCTAAAACCTACGTCGCACCAGTCCGCCACCTCACGATCTCCAAATAAAGATCTTGTTTTTTTGGAAACAATGCTCAACTGTTTGCCCATAATCTATGACTTCTGATTTATGTTTATTTTTATAATAAAAATTAATGACTATAATTCTATGCTTTGCAACAGTTTTTTTATTGTATCCATTAAAAAATGGATGCTAATTGGCGAAATGTATTACTAAAAATACTTTTTACCTCACTTTTATATGAGATTTTATTAAATACTAAAACTAAACTGTCTTATCCAGCTGCAATTTATAAGACCTTTCCACTTTTCATTCAAACCAATGGAAAAGCGAATGCTGAATGGTGTTCACGTTGTATTAGCAAAGATATCGTAATAATATTTTTTGGCATTAATAATCAACTTTTATGAGACTTGATTTAAACATTTCCATACTATAAGTTTTTATTGGGCCTTGATTTATACATTTTATACTATAACTAAGTGTTTTATTGGGCCCAAACTCATAAAACCTTTTAACTTTTTATTTCTTTCCATTGAGAAAATAAATGCTAAATCGCGTACGCGCTGTATTATCAAAGATATAATCTCATTCGGAATAAACACAACGTTTTGCCCATAATCTATGGAATGTGATTGATGTACTTTTTATGAAAAAAAAAGATTACAATTATTAATTGTTAATATTCCATCCATTGAAAAAATGGATGCTGAACGATGTGCGCGTTGTATTAATAAAGATAGTATTTTTTGGAAAGAACACTCAACTTGTTGCTCAAGATTTATTTTTTTAATAATAAAATTAACCTGTCTTATCAAACTCAAGTATATAAAATCCTTTACTTTTTCAATCTATCCATTGGAAAAAAACCGTTTTTAATAAAAGTGTATATTTTTGGAAACACACAAATCTTTGTCTAAAATCTATGGGATTTCAATGATGGATTTTTATAATAAAATTGAACTCTCTTATTGAACCTAAATATAAAAACATTCTTTCTTTTTTCATTCAGTCAATTGGAAAAATGGATTTTGAACGGACTAGTAGAGACTGTTTATTAAAAACATGACATTTCTTAAATCAGCAGCCCACTGTTTGTCTATAATGTATATGATTTTATTTATTTTTCTATAATAAAAAATCTAAAAACCCGAACTTTATCAATTGTTTTTATTTTATCCATTGAAAATAGAAATCCTGAATAGGTTATACATTGTATTCTTAAAGTGCTTGCAACCAACATTTAATCTTATTATCTATTTAATTTATAATTTTTTTAATAATAAAACTGAATTTTATTTTTTAAGCCAAATTTAGAAAATCTTTTCTTTTTTCATTCTATCTATTGAATAGACTAGTATCTACTAATTATTAAAACCATGACATTTTTTGGAATCAGCAATCAATGTGTTGTATATAATCTAGGGTTTTTGATTTATTTTTGTGGTAAAACTAAACTGACTGAACCCAAATTTGTAAAATCTTTTATGTCACCCATTAGAACATGTTGATCAGTGTTCGCGCTGTATTTTTAAAGGTAATAATATTTTCTGGAACTAAACCACTTTTTTCTCATAATATGTCGGATTTGATTTTTGATATTTTTATAGTAAAACTGTAAAACTGTCTTATTAAATCAAAAATTAGAAAAAAAATGGATACTGAATGGTGTATGCGTATTGTTATTTACGGCAGAATACTTTTGGAATAAACACTCAACTTTTTGTAGGGGATGGGATTTGATTCATGATTTTTTCATGACAAAGCTAAACTGCTTTATTGAACACAAATTCTAAAATATCCTTTCATTTTTATTTTTCATCATTGGAAAAATGTTGCTGAATGGTGTCCGCATTGTATTATTATCGATGATAATATTTGTTGGAACTAACATTCTACTTCCTTGTCCATAATATGTGGGATATGATTTTTTAAATTGAAAAATAAAGACTAAAATTTTTACCTTTTAATATTCATCCTTTGAAAAAAATGTATACTTAATGGGGTCGGCGATATTATTGAAAACAAGAGGTAATTTAGATTTATGGTTTTCTTGTTCAATATTTGTTTGTATAATATTGTAATAATTTGACATTTCAGAATTTATTTTCTTTATCATTGTTTGATTGAATCATTAAGGTATTTGTGTTTATTGTTGTATTTGTAAACCATATAATTTTTATCCTATCGGACAAACTTAGTGTTATTTGAGTAATGATGATAAAGTATTATTACATCTAAAATGTGATGGTTTTCCTTGTAAGCAATAGCTTTTGTACCTCAATTTTTGTTAGTTTTAGTCAAATTACACAGACGGCTTCCTGTCCGTGTCACGGCCGATAATCTAAAGGCAATCGTGTTATGAAAAATTGATAGCGATCACGATAATGCGTGTCACGTTTTTTTATCCCCAGGCACAGCGAGTATAGTAATTTGAACTGTGTTAAATAATACAGACAAAATCACCGGCCCTTTTCTCCAATGGAAAAAGATAGCTGGATTTTCCTCTCGTACGTTCACACGGCGTTTATGAACTTTTTTTTATATTTAGGAAACAAATTCAACGAGGATTTTCTATAAATCACTTCCTTCCCATAAATCCGATTTGCACCAGTTCAAAAACTTTCCCCTTGACCAAAAACCTCTTAGAAAGGAAAGAAAGAAAACGTATTTTTTATTGTCAGCAGTTTGATCAATACTGATCATCCCTGGGTGCCGATGTCTTTGCTTTTTTTGAGCTCAGCAAGTTTCGTACTTTGTTGTGATTTTTCCCCCTTTCAAACCCGAATTAGTATTATTTTTCAAACCTTTTTTATTTATTATTTTTAAGGGGTTTAAGGACTGTATTTAATTTATATTCAAATTTTTGTGGCGCAACATGTTGAAAATGATGGAATGTTCCACTCCGGTCTCAGGAAAATTAAGTAACTATTTTGTAAAAATAATGTATAAACATGCAATAGTATACATGAACTAAAGAAATAAGTTACAAAACTAGGGGTTTTGGAGAGTAAAGAATAAACAATATTCTAAACATTAAGACTTAACTAAAAAATAATTAAATAAGACAGAACAATAAACAAGTAAAACTAAACCATTTTTTTAACCAGGAAATAAGGAGTTAATTCCATTTAGTTCCTTCTTTCAAAAATGTCTTTAACTTAGTTTTGTACATTATTATCATCAAAATCTTCCAATAATTATGTAGTAGGGTTGAACAGTTTTTATGAGAACGGTTGTTTTTTTAATTTTTTAACAACTTTCGTGCATAAACTAAAAGAAAGGTTTACAAAAAGAGAGGTTATGAAGAAAAAACATTATAAAATATTCCGTAAATGAACAAGCATTTAGTTAATAACCAAGGCGCAGCAATCAAAAAGTAAAACTAGACAAAACAGCTATTTTCGACTATTTACTACAGACTAGTAAACTTCATTTAGAGTTTTTTTACAAGAATGTTTTCAGTTTAGTCGTTTACATAATCATCACTAAAATCTGCTTTTTCTTATGCACTGGTATTGAACAGTTTTTGGTGGAAAAGGCCTTTTGAGCACTCCTTTCTTTCCGAAGTGCTTTAGTAGGTTTAATTCATTTCTTTCTGTCATAAAATCATAAAATACATATAAACTTTAGTCAGGATTTGATTGCGATCGATCATGAACATATATACGTGTAGACAATATAAAAACAATTCACTTATTTGCCTGTGGTTTTGCGTCTTTTCTTCCTTACTTCTGGTGCGAAAACGACTAAAAATGGTATGAAAGATT